ATGACTTCCAGTTGTGGCTAAGTGTCTCAAAACAAGATGAAAAAAATATAAAAGCATTTATCATTAGAATCAATTCGTTAATATTCATAAATGCAAATAAGATAATATATTCCCAGCGAGAACGTTTGAATAAGAGTTTATGCCACTTTCGAGTTGAGTGTGTATGTATGCAAGCTTCTCCCTCTGTATAAAACTGTTCTATTATTACATGATATATTTCCTTGTTTCTATATTCAATATCGATCTATCTTCATTTCCATGAATTAATTCCTCTTCCGTCAATATGAATATAAATATCCGTATACCTATCGATCATGTATATATATATACACATATATATATATATATATATATATATATATATATATATATATATATATATATATATATATATATATATATATATATATATATATATATATATATATTAGAATTGCTAATTTTACAGGGAAATGTCCTCAATATCGAGATTAAAACATTTATAGACAGTAATAGTACAAAACATAGAAATCGATACTGCATAATGACTGAGACTTGATTTCGATGATATATATATATATATATATATATATATATATATATATATATATATATATATATATATATATATATACAAGTTGTCCATAAAGTTTGTGTGCACTTTAAAAAAATTATAACTGTATTTGTATTTGTGATAGAAATAATCTGTAAAAAATGTTATAAAGTTTAATGTACCTAGTTTTAAGTAGCCTTTAACAATACATGCCTCAAAAATGACATGCTGTCAAAATATAGATACACACACACACATATACATATATATATATATATATATATATATATATATATATGTATATATATATATATACACACACACACATATATATATATGTATACACACATATATATATATACAAACACACATATATATATATATAAATTGAAAATTGTGAATATTAATTTAATATTAAGTATAAAGGGAAATTAGTGTTTTTCCACAGACACACACACACACACACACACACACACACACACACACATATATATATATATATATATATATATATATATATATATATATATGCGTGTCTCTGAGTTTGTGGAATATATATTAGAATAGAATATTATATGCATATATATATATATATATATATATATATATGTGTGTGTGTGTGTGTGTAAAACAGTAATTTCCTTTGATATTTAAGTATGGTTATATATATATATATATATATATATATATATATATATATATATATATATATATATATATATATATATATATATATATATATATATATATATATATATATATATATATATATATATATATATATATATATATATATATATATATATATATATATATATATATATATTACTTTCAACCACACAATGTTATTTTTAAGAAAACCAGTTCTCCTATAATATTCTAGTACATTATCTGTGGATATACATTATCTATGTAAATAATCTATCCATATACATTATCTATCTATGTATATAATCTATCCATATACATTATATCTATATACATTATATATATCTGTACAATATCTACCTATATATTTCCTTCTTCTACAACCTCCTTTCCTTTGTGGCTATTCTTCCCTTTGCTAATTCCCCCATTCCCGACACGCCAGCCATACATATAAGCTTATCAGGTATATGGCTCACTGGCTTCCTCTATTTTGCCTGCAATTAATACGTTCTTTGAGTGTTACGTTTCCAAAGCCCTCTTTCCTCATTAGGTTTCCAAGAAATATAATTGTTCTCACACGTTCCCAGCCAAATGCACTGGGCACTAAGATAAAAACTCGGATGTTTGGGTCCGATTTTGTTAAATGTCACGGGAAGAGACATTTACATCTCTTCACTGTTCCATACAGACACACACACACACACACACACACACACACACACACACACACACATATATATATATATATATATATATATATATATATATATATATATATATATATATATATATATATATATATATATATACAGGTTGTAACAGCAAAATTGTCCAAATTGTGTAACAGCAAAATTGTCCAACTGTTGGAGTAAGCTTTGAACCGTTGTAACTTAGTAATGATTAAAGATATCTCACTTGAATTCTCCGAAGTGTTTATAGCATTATTGGACTCTAATTGAGCAATAAGAATATATAATTACTCTCCAAGCTTACCAGAAGAATCATGGTGAAATCGATCATAAACGAAAATGACATGTTTATCATTAATTAATCATAGCTAAGGATTGGAAGCTCATGAAGTATTGAAATAAAGTTCATATATATATATATATATATATATATATATATATATATATTCGAGGACCATTTTCCAACTTATTCAAGATGATCTTCGCCCTCTCTGTCCTGGAATATCAGCTGGCTTACAGGTTTCACGTACGATTTCATTTTAATATGTTTTTTCACTGCTCTTTGAACTGTCATAGGTAAATCTCCGTTTTCACGTGCCATGGGTTCAGTTGTATCTTTTAGAATTGATCTCTTTAGGTCTAAGTTGATATGATGATCCTTCTTCCTATATTGACCCCCTGTTTCAGTTTTCCTCCCTATAATTTGCTCTATCTTTTAAACATATCCACGGTTCTCTTGATGATTCTTGAATGAATTTTGTAGATGGAAGTCAGAGTATGAATGTTGCTACCATTACCGAAAGACTGAATAATCATTTTTCCTCTCACTATTGCTCAGATGGAAAGAGTATGCGTTGGACACAAAACGATTTTAATCTGTTCTCTTTTTATCTGAATAACTCAAAGGGATTTTCAGAGATTCTTACGAGAATGGTCTTAAGATGAATAAACCTGAAGACCTGATAAAAGAAATTCAATTAGTTTCATGGTTTTTAGATATTAAACATTTTGTAGGATGGATAATTAAGCTGTTACACGATTATTAGAAGGATCTGAGATAATTATAGTTATGTAATTTATCGAGTCTAGAAGAAACCTCAACAGAATGCAAAAAGCACTGGACGGCCGTTTCTGCTACCGAGAATTGAAACCCGGACAGTTACATTATCAGGCTAACGTCATGTAGGAAATCAGACTCGATATAGCGCCGCTCGATCACATAGGACTGTGACCCCACGACCCACGACTACTATCCTCAAGCCGCTCCACCCAGAGCATTAGAAGCCGGTTCAAGCAAGGATATACAAGTCATAGAAATGAGGAGGATTTGAGATAATTATAATTAAGTAATTCATTGAGTCTATAATAAACCTCAACAGAATGCAGAAAGCACTGGACAGCCGTTTCGTTCTATATTTTGGGACTCACCAGCAGTGCGCATCCACTACCAAGAATTGAAATATATATATATATATATATATATATATATATATATATATATATATATATATATAAATTCCCAAAAGGATAGAATCTAGGTAGAGCTAAATGTTCAGGACAGAGTAAGCATATATCATATAATATATATTAAGAATAAGAATATAATACAATATAATAAAATATAATATGATATAATATATATATATATATAATATATATAAATAAATATAATATATAATATAATATATATAATATATCTATATATAACATATTTATATATATATTTATATATAATATATATATAAAATATAATATATATAATATAATATATAATATATCTATATATAATATATATATATCTAAGAATATAATATATATTATTGTTTGAGTCTTTTATATTATATATATATATATATATATATATATATATATATATATTTATGTATGTATGTATGTATGTATATGCGTGTCCAGTCATTAAGATTCACATCACGCCTACGTTTATTTTTCGCATATTTTATATTTTTTCTTTTGACTAGTCGATTTATTTTCATTCCCCAATTGTCAAATTTGCTAAGCTCATGATTTTTTCTTTTGACGAATTATTTTCTCTCTCTCCGACAAAAGAATTTTCTGTCGATCTTCTCCCACCATCTTCCTTTCACGCATAATGTCAATGTATTTGTTCCTTGTATTTTTCTTCTCGAAAGCAAAACATGATTTCCCGTTGTTCGATATTCCATTATGTCTACTTTTTTTCCCGTCTTCGAATAAGTGTCCTCATCGTACCCCACCCTACTCCTCACATTCTCTGCTAACTGGTTGGGTCTGTTGTTTGATTCTTATAAACTCAATTCGTAACTGTTATCGGCGCAGAAATTTGAATTGGCAAGTCGAGTCCAAATTCGAGCACTCGGGAGAATTTTATCTATCGACAAGATTGTGGGCCAAACTGGGAACTCTAGCCTCGGCTGGCGTCTAGTGTTATTCATTTTATTCACTTAGCGAATATTACGCCGTTGTGGTCACCAATTCATTCCATCTTACAACCGCTGTTCATAGTGACATTCAAGGCAGGATAGAGCAATGGCTGACCGGTTCTTTTTGCACCGGTGATGTTGAGGTTAACCCGCTCTGCCTGTCAGAGTTAGATTTGTTTTTCGAAGTTACCTTCTTCTAGTTTTTCTGAAAGAAGAAGAACAGAATAGGAATCAGGTAGTTTTAATTCACACTTTCCTTCTCCCTGACTGGTTGCCATCAATTCTGCCCTGCTATTTTACGCATGGCTGGGGGAGAAGAGATGGAATCATACCTTTCTCAAGGGTATTAGCACCTAAGGGAATCTAACGAACTTGAATGGAGTTCGATCTCCGCTCTCCGATTCCTCAATCCGACCCGATAACCATTACTCCACCTAGTCTAACAGAAGGAAAACTCTAATACCCACACCCCGGTGAAAGCAACAAAGACCTATTTGTTTTTCCAAGAAGTTATCGCAATTCACTAACGATAAATGAAAAAGTAATGTGATGAGAGCCATAAACATTTTAATGGAGTTTTATGTCATCATTCTGGGTGCAACATCCCAGAAATACGTTGGTCCTTACGCTTAATTTTACATTTAATTTCACGCTTTCGACATTTGAATATCACAGTTCAATATCACTTACATCGAAAATGATTGCCTACACCTAGATAGATAGATAGATAGATAGATAGATAGATGACAAGGCTCTGACAGATAGATAGATAGATAGATAGATAGATAGATAGATAGATAGAAGACAATGACAGATAGAAAGAAAGAAAGAACAGGCTATAACAGATAGATAGATAGATAGATAGATAGATAGATAGATGCGAAGGCTATGACAGATAAATAGATAAACAGACAGAGTGTTTGTTGTAGTAGATGGTCTGTATAGTGGGACACCCAGAGAAGATTAAATTTACAACAGGAAAGACGACGACTTCCTAATTATCAAGCAACACCTTCCAAATCAAGAATGTAGACTGGAAGAGATTTCAGGCAATAGATTAATTTGTTAGTTCTTCTGTTATCGTCATTCCTTGGCCATTCATTCCTTTGATTGAAATCCATAGTCACTATCAACTGTTTAATTACACTTGGGTTGCAAATCAATATTGTCCACACAATCGTAGATAAACCATTGCGAGAGAAACTTTTGTCTGATACAAATATACACATTTAGGATAGACATTGAAATTAAGCAAATTATTCATTTTTATTTTTGGTTTTATGAACTCTATCATTTACTTGAGTGTGTATAAATATGATACATGATGACACTAAATCTACAATTTTATAACTTGCCATCTAAATTTTATAACTTGCCACCGAAATTTTATAACTTGCCATTTAAATTTTATAACTTGCCATCTAAACTTGCCACCTAAATTTTATAACTTGCTGTTTGGGGCTCTCCCCTTTTTACATAAGATGGACTCATCCAAAGTATACTTATACTGACAGAGAGAATACCTGCTGTTGAGACACGTCGAGATACAGTCTCGACGTCTGTCGAACTCTCTGCTTTGGCAGAGAGGAACCCGGGCGAAGCTTTGCCGAAGGGCAAGGTTTCGTCCGGGGAGGTAGACAGGCCCTGAACCCATCTAGGCGGGTCCAAAGGGTATAATTTTGGCCGAGCCTACGGGCTCGGAGAAACCCACTTTAAACTCGGCCTTGTGCTACATATATTCCTCGTGGGTGGAATATTAAATACTGAGATGCGCGGAGATACGTTGAGATACGTTGAGATACGTATGAGATACGTTTGAGATACGTGGAGATACGTTGAAATGCGTTGAGATACGTTGAGAGAGGTTGAGAGATACGGAGACAGACACAGGGTGTTCTCAGAGACTTATACAAGAGTCCAGAGATAGAGAGAGAGAGAGAGAGAGAGAGAGAGAGATGATTCCGGCTTTACTTACAGAGACTTGTACATATACGTTCTACTAACCCGCATTCCTGGACTACTAATCCTCACTTCAAGTCTGTATTCTTACGTTTAATACACTTATTTTTCTATCTCAATTACTGGCGTTGTTTATTTATTTGTGCAGGATTCCATTCACGGAATCCACAACACTTGCCATCTAAATTTTATAACTTGCCATCTAAAAACATGTCCATTCCAAATAATCCACTGGTTTCGAAGTAATTTTTAAGTAAGTAATAAAACTCTAAGGAAATTAAATTCAGATTTTTTTTTAAAACATTTAACTCAAGTAAGGTAATGAAAGAGTGTTAGTGATAATGAGAAAAATATTAGAGAAAACATTAAAAGAACAAAAATTAAGAAGTCAGAAGCTAACGATTGACATTGCATTGACTGGAAAGCAAGACGCCGGAAGAGAGTTCTAGAAACCTTTTATTCAAAATAGTGTGAAACGTCAATATCTTGATTTTGTCATTAATTTTCTCTTCGAGTTACATATAATGTCCATAAGCGTTACCTGGATATCTACCTATCTAAATAAATATATCTAAATGACAGATATGGACCTGTACATACTGAAACAGATATTGTCTAAGATTTGCTTTGCTTTGGTTTGAACTAAGAACACAGTAACACAGTATGGAGCACTCGGTGGCATCAACATCCATAATGGTAACGAAGGAAGAATAACGGCGTCTTGGCACCAGGCTATTGTAAGAGCCGGAGAAATTCCGAAAGAATAAATATATAACAAGGATTTGCAAATAAAATTGTTAGAAACCATCGTCTATTTTCACAAATTTTAGGATATATTTATGTAAGTAATAGATTTTAAGAGCTTCACTTTTACGAATCAGCGACAATAACTATGATGGTGGGAGCATCAAGAACACATACGGAAATGAAAGACGGTTTAATGTTTTATTTATAAATAAATCTAAAACCTAAGAGAACATACGTTCTATCGACCATTTTTTTCATTTTATATTTTAATATGGGCTTCTTGATATTTAATAACATTCATCAGTGCCACAATCATTTACTCGAAATTCGAATTATTTGTAGCTGGATGTTTACTTCCTTTGATTAAATATTATTTACTATTCTCATATGTTTGATGGATAATCTGGTGTTTAAATGACGCAAAATCAAAATAAAACCGAAATTTTATTTTAAGAGATATATTGACCAAAATTACATATAAATATCTTGACATACAAAAGAGTAAATTTATTCAGTAAAATCGTCATTGGCTTCAGCCAAAGTCTCCGGACGACTTCGGAATCCCATGCATTACTTCTGGACGATCTTCTTATGTAAGTTGTTGCATGCAGCCATAATAATTGACTTCAGGTCATCTTGGGTGTTGCATGGCGCTTTTTTGGTCTGTCGTTCAACTGCGCTCAAAACCTGATAATCAAGGGCATTGCTGTCTGGGCAGTTAGGTGTCCAAGTATAAGGAGGGATGTAGTCGCAGAAATTGTCTGACAGCCATGGGTGGGCTCTCCTGTTTATGTGGAATGCAGTGTCCTGTTCCTAGACATTGAATCTTCCAGCAGACACCCTCTTTAACAAGGGCATCACTACCTCCATAAGGCACTCAGCCTCCATGCTGAGTCTGAGACCCCGTGTGAAGATGAATAGAGGTCTAACGTCGCCATCACTAGTGATCACTCCAAACACCCTCGTAATCACCCATCTCTTTCCGAGAATCCTCTGCACTGTTCTCAGATTGACACCCAAACACTCTGAAATGTTCCTATTGGAGCTTCCGGCACAAATGCCAAGCGGTAAAGCATGCAGTTTTCAAATTTCTGTTGAATTGCATCATGGTGCTTTATCTCTCACAGATGTTGGCCAACTGATCCTATTCAACTGTGCAATCGACAAAATCAAACATAAACACGCAAGCGCGAAATTAAAATGGTAAAACGGCGACAATTTACCCATCGCACTCTATCTGTTATAATGATGAGACAAGATTGGATTAATATGTGGAGAATGCGAGATTATTTCATTAATTTGATAATTTCGAAAGTATTTTGGCAACAATCAGTTTTTAGAAGGCAAAAGAGTGTTTCTTTAAGCTTCTCCAATAAATTCCAATAATTATTTGCATCTCTCTTAACATCACCACCTCGGAAAAAGCCTATAATTTTAATATGGCTTATGGTCATATCACGTTGAAACACCGGTTTTATTACGATTGGCAGAGTTAAACAACGTAGAACCTGGTCAGTAGCATACAGTCAGTTATGTGCCATGCGTGATACACGCTTAGGCGATCATGTATCTTTCGATACATGACTGACGAGGCATTTTTCACACAGTAGGTTTGCATTTTTTCTCCGGTAGACCAGTTACCATCCAAGGCTATAGAGCTCGGCCTGTCCTGCTATTTTACCCATAGCTGGAGGGAGAGGAAAAGGATTCATACCTTTCCCAAGGCTATTAGCACGTAAGTGAATGAAATGGATTCGACTGGATTTCGAACTCCTTATATTCAATTAAGTGCTAATTACAGTAAGAGATAATGGAATTTTTAATCGAAAAGCTGAGTTCCAATTCCCGTTGGGTTCGTTATATTCACTTACGCGCAAATATCATTGAATCTATCACTTCTCCTCTAGATATGGGTTAATCAGTAAGACTTACATCACAAAAATACTTACAATCTATAAATGTATAAATTCACCTTTTCTCCCCTCAGCTATGACTTAATTAGTAAGTTTTATATTTAATAAAATATATTATTATCTCCGAAAATAATTCTTACGACCTAAAAATATGCTCTGGCTTTAAATAACCTGCGAAGAGTTGATAAGCCGTAAAAAAAAACGAATCATTCAACGGATATTGTTATTACGTCCAATAACGGGGCAAAATATTACTGCAAATCTGCATAATTGTTTCCTACATTGTTTTTCTAAATTATTTCTATGAAGGACCCAACTTATAGCGCAGCCATTACGGCCATCTAATGCTATATTCATCACAAAAATGGTTGTTGATAAATCAGTTTTTATATACTTTGTCACACATCTACTTATACGTTTTTTGTTCTTTGTGATATTTTCTTAAGAGTACCAGTTTTATTGCTTACCGAATGTTTGTGCTGCCTATCCATTTTTCTTGCTTATTACCTATTAATTTTTTTGCCAAAAATACATTTTCCAACTTTTTGTTGTCACTTTTAATCATGTTAATTCAGTGATTTACCAATACCAATGTTGTGGACACGACTACATAGGGAGGACGTCCTAGCGTTTGGATTAGAGAATAAAACAGTATTTAACCCCCAGGATTTTGAATCCGTCCTCCAGGAATAGCCAACTGACCAACAGTTCTGGTTCTGCTATTGCTGAACATTTAATAAATAGAAGGAAATGTGTGGAAAATTTTAGTGGTGACCGATTTATAATTTTATCTAGGTCCCACTCCACATTTCACCTCAAGGTTCTAGAGTCCTTGTATATCAGATCCCGTGAGACTTCCCTTTCTAAACAGAGGGAATACTTGCTGGGTCTGAATATTATTGGACTCTAGTTTCTTGAAATTCATAATTTTTTCCCCATTCGATTACATTCGCCAATTAAAAAATTAATTTACACGCTTTTTTAAATTCCCAGAATAAATAAACTTGATAAGTCCTGGGAGGAAACCGGTTGTTTTATTTTAGCTTTTGCTTTTAAAAATGCCTTATAAATATTGTCTTTTCCTATCTTATATATATATATATATATATATATATATATATATATATATATTTATATATATATATATTAATTTGGTGTGCGACTTAAGTTTCGTTGTTTACCCACCTCATCGGACACATTGGATTACCAACTAAACTTAAATCGCACACCAAAACGTAGATATTTGTATATTTGTTTATATATATTTCTTTGCTCTGTCTAACGACATCGAGCGCTGTTATGTTTGCACCTCACGGCTAAATTCGATGATTATTTATTTGCTTTCCTTTGTATGTACGCCAGCACGTGCGTATGCGGTTGTTAATATATCGTTATTTGAGTTACCTAACTCTGTACCTATAAATAAATAATGAGATAGATAGATAGATAGATAGATATGGATAGACAAAATAGATAAATTGATAGATATGAATAGACATAGATAGATAGAAATGAATAGGCATAGATAGATAGATAGATAGATAGATAGATAGATAGATAGATAGATAGATAGATATGAATAGGCATAGATAGATAGATACATATGAATTGGCATAGATAGATAGATAGATAGATAGATAGATAGATAGATAGATAGATATGAATAGGCATAGATAGATAGATACATATGAATAGGCATAGATAGATAGATAGATAGATAGATAGATAGATAGATAGATAGATAGATAGATAGATATGAATAGGCATAGATAGATAGATATGAATAGGCATAGATAGATAGATATGAATAGACATAGATAGATATGAATAGGCATAGATAGATAGATAGATAGATAGATAGATAGATAGATAGATAGATAGATAGATAGATAGATAGATATGAATAGGCATAGATAGATAGATAGATAGATAGATAGATAGATAGATAGATAGATAGATAGATAGATATGAATAGACACAAATGGATTGATATGAACAGACACAAGTAGATACATATATACATACATACATGATGATATTAATGAAAAGGTTAATTACAGCTGGTCTGTGTTTACTTTTCCTCTTTCAGTTTTTTATTTGCCACTTTACGAAGATAAGCCTGAAAGTTGTTTCCGACCCGAAAACCATTATTAGATTCATACCTAATTTGAACAGCTGCTGGCGTTGCGATTTTTCATTTTGATTTCGTCCTATAAATAACAAGTGGAAATGTCCCTGAACCGGACTATGACAAGAAAGTACTTAAGTACCCCTGAATGGACAAATGTTGATGGTTAGCAAATTAGAAAACTGGCGCAACGCCTGTCTCCAGTAACAAAAGGGAAAACGTTGCAGTAAGTTTCAAAAGGACATTCCTCTCATGCCATTGAATTTCTTTGACGTTTTCTTTCCCACATTTCTTAATCGTAAATATTTTCAAAATGATGAATATTATATTCACCATTTTGATAATGATTATTACTAAGAAATGATATTTAGTTGACATTTTAATAAAAGCTAAATACCTGTGCTACGGTCAGTAAAAAGTTAATTTGCAATAGAGTATCTCTTTTTTCGACAAAGTTTCTGTATATACAAGACATTTATTAATAAGACATTTATTACCTAAATTTACTTTTGTCATTCTGCTAAGTTCACTTAAATTTCCTAATCTGAATATTTTAGGTATCACCAATTTTTTTTACGGTCATAAAAAGAAAAATACCTGCAGATGTTATTTCAGTAAAAAATAATTATACATAACATACTGAAAATTTGTCCCGAACTTTACCAGCAATAATTAAATAAATCTCAGAATTTTCATTTAGAATTGGCTTTGCATAATTTAATAAAGAATATTTTCTTTCAGATTTTTCAGTATTTACTTTTGAAAATATTACTTGTAATTACTCAGTTCAATTCTGAAATTTATCCAGTTGCGGTTCGTGACAAGTGATTTCTTATCAACTAAAGACATGTTTGAAGAATCGAAAATTGTAAAGCCTAATGCCATTCTCGAGTGTAAATATTTTTAAAAGAATATTTTTTAAACTTTTTTAGCTGTTAGATTATTTTCTGTACGAAAGTTCAATAATAATTTTGTAACTGCAAACAATTTCCATTAGCAATTCACTAAGTCTTTATCAATATTTCCAATCATTTGTAACACTTTTAGTCTGATTAATTTTAAAACCCGAATAATTAAAAAAAACTCTTTCGATGTGATTAAATATTTTATATCGTCAAAGAATTCCGTCCTATGTAAAATGATAAACTACATCCGACTGATCAAGAGGTTTTGAGGAGTGTGAAATCACCTCTTAATTGCTGGTGTTCCCAGGTCCAACCTAACCTGGAGTGGTAGCACCTGTTAGGGCCCCAGCTATGGGCAAATAGTTAACGTCTCAATCTGGTGGCAAAACGCTATGAAAGTGTACCAGCAATAAATTTTTGAGGAAAAATTATCACCATTTTGAGGAAAAAATATTGTCAGCAATACATTTTTGTAAGAAAAATATTACCAACAGTACATTCTTGTAAATAATTATTAACAGCAATACATTTTGAGGAAAAAATTATTACCAGCAATACATTTTTGAAAAAATATTCACAGGAGTAAATATCTTGTCGGCATTAAATAACCCACTGAGGTTGACATACCGTAAAACAAAACAAACCAAACCAATCATCAAAGAGTTACGAAAATAATGAAAATAAATAAACGGTATTTTCGTTATGTTTTAAGCAACAACTAAGCATTACTTTTAAAAAATCAAGTTAATTAAACATTAAATATACTAATTTATTTGAAACAACTATCTAGGATAAATATTGTATTTTTAAGATATTTTTAAATTTCTCGTTTTTATTTTTCACTTAAAATGGAGGTTCAATGAGAGAGCATTTAAATGTCTAAGAACATTATTTAAATACACAAAAATGATTTTTCTTTTGACATGGATTAGCTTTAGGTTATTATCTTTCGAATAAAACCATCATTTAACTTCAAAGAAGTCATTTAAATTATTTAAAATACATTTAATTTTTTTGTGAGTTCGTGCAAGTACCTTAGATATAGCTACTTAAGCTAATAACAAACTCAAAAATCTCCTTACCTTCATTTTTTTTTTTTTTTTTTAAGTATTTCGCTACAGTATTTAGAAATTCTAATCAAACAGATTACTTTAACTTATTTTTTTTCAGCGCTGCTCGACTAATTCGTATTAATGTGAAGTTTCAAACTACAACTCTGCTTACGAATGCTGGCGGACAAACAATTATAGAATTCCATGGAATATTTAAAATCTTTTATGACTATTTACTTTATTTAATGGGAGTGCTTTGAGAGAAATTTTTATTTCCCATTTACCCTCATTATGGACATTATTATATGCGTGATATAGTAACACTTTCTTGGATGGAACGAAATGACTGAAAGAAAAAGAATTGCGATAAATGTTTTGTTCCCAACAAGAGTTTTATGGCGCTAAGTCATACACAAAATTGGGTACGCTTATTTATACGTGACACACACAGAGAAACCATAAAAATGTATACCATACAAGCGGCGCGATGATAGAGACAGATTTGGTTTTACTTGTAATAATTCCAAACAGGAAATATAAGAAAAACCTTGGACAACCTACGAAACTAACCCAAAATCTTGCACGATTATAGATGATTTGATCGTTCTAATAGATAGATAGATAGATAGATCGTGTACAGACTAAGATAGATAGATAGATAGATAGATAGATAGATAGATAGATAGATAGATAGATAGTTGCGACCAAAATGTTCAGAACGGCATTGTTTTCATTAGAAAAGTAGGTATATTTTTTTATCAAAGTTGTTTTATATTCTATAATTTTCGCAGACAATAAATACAATATTAATTGTTATTGTGTGAGATTTGGGTGTAATTTGGGAGGATAATACAAAAGTTATGGATGATTTAGTGGTTTGCAACAAAACCCATGGCCGCCAAAATAATGAGAACGGTTGCTTTTACTTCATGTTTTAGTATATTTAACCGGCGGACTCTAATTTTTTTTAATTTGTTTACGTGACGGTTCCTTTACTAAACATTAGTAAGAATATCTGCAGTGTACTTTGTTAATATAATGCCACTCACTACATTACCAATTTGTCAGCAGATTATTAAGCCTCGAAAGAAGGATCATTTTAGTATTGGTTCTATTGCAAAGATTGTTAACACGTCAAATAGTGTTGTTCACGGTATTCTTAAGGTCTACAGTGATTGTGGTTCGTGTGAAGCAAGAAAGTCTACAGGTAGGCCAAGAAAAACGACCAAAAGAGAAGATCGTGCTATGGTAAAGTTGGTTAAAAAGGACAGATTTAAAACTGCTGCTGCTGTTTCTCGGGAAATGAGCATTGTACTGAAGAAAACTTTATCTCAAAAAACTGTGTCTCGTCGTTTAGTTGAACATGACCTACAAGCAAGAGCACCTGCAGTGAAGCCACTGATCAGCATGAAGAATAAAAAGTGTCGGCTTAACTTTGCAACCGAACATGTGTTGTGGTCTCAAGAAAAATGGTAAACGGTGCATTTCAGTGATGAATCTAAGTTTATGTTATTTGGGAAAAGGTACGTTCGTCGAAAAGTAGGTGAAAAATTGTCGCCTATATGCCTTATGACTAGTGCTAAATTCGGTGGAGGAAGTGTTATGGTTTGGGGGATGATATCTGGAGATGGTGTGGGCCTTTTGGTGCGATTACATGGAAAGGTAAATGCAGAAGTTTATAAACAACTTGTAAAAGATCATGTCTTACCTGTGCTGAGAAATTCAATTAAGCGACCACCCATATTCATGCAGGACAATGCCCCATGTCACAAGGCTAAGGTGGTCAGGAACTTCCTCAAGGCTGAAAAGGTTATTGTTATGGATTGGCCTTGTGACACCATTTACCAGGACAAAAAGAAAAGAAAGGAAAAAGAGAAAGGAAAGAAAGAAAAAGAGAGGCGAGACTTAAGCTTAGATGATAAAAGAAGCCACCCACGACCGGGGACATTGACAATGTTATTTTGATAAGTAGCAAATGGCGAAAGGTTTCATTACCATTGCAGAAAAAATTTAAATGGATAAGAAAATCGACTATGTTCTGGTGGCGAACTTGTGTTATCGGGGATAGATAACAACCACTTAATGCTGGCGAACATCTAATTAACAAACCACTGAAAACTCCGAGACAATTGACAATGTTATTTTGATAATGGAAAAGATAGTGAAAATTCTGATCACCAGTGTCGTAGAACTGTCTGACAAAGAACAGGTGAATATAGAGCTTTGGATAGATAAGAAAAATTAACTGTGTCAGAGGGGGCAAACAATATTGTCGTGAAAGTATTTAATAGGTCGTCTGCCAAACGAAGCCAACCCTGGGTCACGTCTTGGCCGTTTTGACAAGACATCTATGGGTGTTAGAATTCGGTTGTGATAACAAAACTATGTTATCAGAAATTGGCACCAAGAATGCAAATACGGCTAGAACAATGGAACTGTTTTTTCGAGACGACGGTCGACTGTGTTTTCGCTAGACGACTGCCCCACTTGATAATTGGCATTGATAGATCCCAGGTTACATTGGGGGATGAGGTCTGCGATTAAGGAAAGAAAAGGAAAAGAAAAAGATAATTTTTTTTTGAGCAAGATATAAATTTTTTTCTTCCTAAAACAAAGCCAGCCGGATCACACACACCCGGCTGGACGCCATTGGCCGAATGATAACGAGGGCGAGGCGGAGGTGATCACGTGACGCAAGGAGGGAAGCCGCCGCCGTCCATTTAGAGGATAGGTATGAGAAGTTGCTATGAAGAAGTGGGGGAAACCGTTGACGCCCCTCTGAAATATGGTGAGATATCCATATGAGAATAAAGAGAAGGTGGGAGTAATAGAAGACTTCCAAAAATGGAAAGGAGTGGAAAATTCCTAACCAAAAATAAAAGAAGTGGATATGGGTTTAGAATTATCGAGGAACCTCCAACCCCGACAAA